ATCTTCGTATAGATCCACTTTAGCCGGCACGCAGACGGAAGCGCGTTCGTGGTCGAAAAAAGCACGGGGCTTAATTAAATTCCGTGGATTGCTTTCGTGCCGTGGCGTTTCGGGTCGATGCATTTTGTGACTCTGCAACGAGAGCTCTCGCGGCGAGTACAAGCACTTGTTTCAGAATCGCGCACTACGTTGTTGATGGCAAAGACAATCGATTCCCGTGCGCTTGCAAATTTATTGAAAATTTTATGGTTTTGAAAAAAAGTGCGTAGTTGCAATTATCCGTGTATAGACGTTAAAGAAACGCTTATAATTTTTGCACAAGTGTATTTATAATTACAGCAATTTTTGAACGTTCTAGTTTTCATTTTTGATAACCAAAGCTTTTTCGATTTAGATGAATTCTCCGAAAATTCTCATCGCACAAAAGAATTTTTGTCAACAAAATTCTAACAACAATTTTGAACAACAATTTTCACACAATAGTTTTGTTCGGTGGCTTTCTAAAGCGTCTTCGTCAAGGTATTGATGTGACCCCGCGTAGTGCGCATCGTCGATCGCGCTCGTGTCTATCGCTTCGAGCTCTTTCGCCGCCCATATTTGCATGGCGTACCCTTGAACCTAATCTTCGCGATTGCAAGCCGAGGTCGGGATTACGCGACGTAAATTTATGAATAATCAATGGCTCTTAAGTTTAGCTATCAATTCGAAGCGCTTCTTTGTGAAAATAATCATCATAGTGTATTTTAAGCATCGCATTATAAACATTATAGACTGTTTTCGAAAATGCGGTGTGAAGTTTCTCATCTCAAGTATCACATGTGCGCAGAAGATATAAATAACTTTTAATTTACAAAGACTGGTAATTGTATTACTAATTTTTAAAATTAACGAATAATTAATATAAATAAATAAATATGTACAAGCATTTTTACTTGAAAAGCTTATAAGAAACAAAAATATTTAAATTAAAAACTGCGTATCAATATACTAAGATAAGTCAGAAATTATCCGCAATGTGAGAATTATGTTATACTTGAAAAAATTATGGATAATTTCTGATGGTTACTTTTGTATAAAGGTGAATATATCTGGTGAATGTTGACAAGATAAATTCATAAATAAAATAACAAACGATAAATATCGCAAAATAAGATTTTAGTTTAAATCTTCTAATGATACCATTAATCCTTTATCGGTCTACTGTTTCATTCTTGATATCCGCAATACTCGCCACTATATTGAGGCAAATATCGTGGATTAATAATTATTCCGAGATTGAACATTAAATATAGATCAAGTTGAATTTAGGATTTCGGAGAATTTGATATGAGCAACATTATATCCTAGATAAATTCGTAATTAAATTCTATAATGTACGCAGAATTGATTTGACGCTCATCACATATACACAATATATTTTAAAACTATTAACGACGAAAGAGTGTAGTTTTGTGCAAAATATTTCAAATTTCCATTCACTTCTGAGTTTTATTAATTCGGACTGCATGAACGGAATAAAATAAGTATCTAAATTTAAAATCAAGATTGATTTGTAACCGGCATTTATCGCATTGATACGCAAGATGAGAATCAGTGAATTTCCGATGCGATTGCAATCCGCATTTCGATTGAAAATAAAAAGGCGGACGCGCACACGTCCGCCGCAGTTCTCTCGCGTATCGACAGACCAGATGCAGCAGCGACCGCAACAATACCGAACTCGTTATTTTCCTTCGTTGGGAAGATTAATTCGACCGCAGCCGATCCGCACCCACCAATCGTGGAATTAATTCGATGTCCGGCAAGATAACGAGATTATTTAGAGTAAACGGAAGAAAAATATATCACATTAACCCGTTTTTCCTTGTAAGTGATTAGTTCGTAGAAGAAATTGTGAATCACAAACACTACAGGAGCTATCAAATTTCAATTGCATCGGTTTTTAATTTACGATGATAAAACGATTTAGACAGGTTAACAAATTAGATAATAAAAAAAAATTTTTTTATGGCTTTCAGTGTCACAAAGAAATAAAATATAAAATGCGATTGTTTGAATTTCATCGATCTGCAATAATCAAAGTTCACGATATACAATTGTAACATAAAAAGCGATTCTTACAAATGCAATACAAATCCTGATAAACTTTCTGGATTATTAATAAACGAACGTATTGGCACATTGAATATTATGCTATTCGCAAACATCACTAAATAACCGGTTAAATCCGTTAACAAACTCGTTTAATTAATTAATTTAACGTGTGGTTTTCGTGCCAAACCAATGCTCGTGCATGCATGTTCTCATCAATTCGAACTCGGCGCGATCGTTAATGCACAAATACAAGGATACACGAATAGATTTATTCGCACGTGCGCAGAGACCATTTTAATGTGCCCGACGAGCTCGCGTTACGTTAACGTTACGTCTCGGCGTCTGAGACGACATTCCTTCGAGCGAATTCAGTCAGCGGTATCTGGACATATTATCGCGTCATTGTTCGCGCTGAAACGGACCGCATATACGCACCTACCGTGTGAAACATTATCTTTTCTTGCTCCGAAACTGTCTTGTCACCGCGGAAACAGAGAATCGTGGCGAACCTCGACCGAGAAGTCGGAAGAGCGATAACGAGTACGATGGACTCCTTTGTCATCGGAGGAGATGCCAAAAGAGCAGAGTGGAAAGAAATTGCGGCGATATAATTACTGACACAGTGTGTGTAACAGTAGAAACCGCAGTAACACACGTGGCGATCGCATTGGAAATAAAACATTCTAAATACAAGCGCAATAGTAATAATTTGCACGAAAAAAGAATATAAAAAAGTTGACACATTTATATAAATATAAAAAGCTGACACATTTATGCGAATATAAAAAAGTCGACGCATTTACACGACGTGTCGGTCACGACAAGTACATTTAAACCTTTTGAAATAAATAATATAAATTTTGTAAATATAATTTTAAAATAAGAGTAATGTACACCATTTTTTTTTTAACGGCACACACAATATGATCATACAGAGCACTTTATAACAGACTTTTGGTAGACTGTTATCGGTTATCACAAAGCTTTCCCACGCAAAATGACGCATGAGAGGAAGCTATGAAACAGCAGCAAACTTCTTCGTTCCCGAGCAAAGATAAGCATTCCCAAACGTGCAAACTAACGTTGGCGCATTTAATTTTGATGGATGATAAAAATTGCATTGTCATCTCGGAAAGTTAAACGCTGCGAACTGTATTTCCTCTCAGTTTTCGAATGAAATGTATGATGTGTCTAGTTCTGAGTTTTGTTTGCCCGACAAAAGCTCGTTTAATATAAATGACGAATATGAGAAGCGTTTAAAGCAAAGTATGACAATACTCCAACAATATCAATTTTATGAATCGCGGATAGTGCAATGCAACGTACAATTAATAATTAACAATTGTTTATGTTAAATTCAATACGTTATTAAAACAATGAGAGTATTATAGAACTGAACACTAAATTGCAACACTAAATTGTGAAATTTATAATTGTATATAATAGCTGAATATTAAATCAAACCATAAAGTTATAAATTTGTACAAGTTAAATCCCTAAAATCATTTATACCAACAAAAATTAACTTTTTATTGTTATTCTCTAGCACTTTAATAATATGTCAAAATAAATTGTCAAAGAACACGCACAAAGCCTAGCAAATTATTCAAACCTTTATATGTACCGTTTTACTTTGATAAAAATGTCATCGTAAAATTAGGTCGCTGAGCGTGTTACTTTGTAGATTAACGAGATCGTAAGAAGAAGTTAAAACAAACCATCTTATTTGAAACTTTTATCATCAGTTTCTTTCGCGACTGAAACAAAAAGCTTTCAAGTCTATGAGAAAAATCTGTTGCTCGTCCTTGCAAAGATAATCCAAACAATGTACGTTGACTCCATTTTAAGAGGATTTGCTCTCTTTTTGGCATTTTTCGCTTATGAGAATATAAGTGCGAGAACTTGTTGCTATTTTACGGCACTTAAAAATAAGCACCAACAATATGCAATTATTTTATTCTATTTTTAAAGTTATTACGTTTTGTTTTAAATTATTTTTAGATGTCGAAAAATATTATCCTTAAACTTTTATGTTTATAAGAACAATTAAATTAAAAGCAAAAGTATAAGAAACTAAAATATAAAAGATTAAAGATAATATTTTTCTAACATCTAAAAATAATTTAAACAAAACAGAATGCTACTGTAATAACTTTTTTACCAATGTTTCCTTTTCCATCAATGGTTCGTATGACACATCAGCTTTTTATATTGCCGACTCCTGCGACATTCATTAGCTTTAATCTCGATGTATCGTATTTTTCTATTTATGTCATGATCGTATCTACGATCTACAAGAGAACGAATTTAGTTAACTTCAATTAAGGTTAACCAGCGTTACACGCATTGATTTTTAAAATGAATATCTCGTTCTAAATAGTTCCAATAGCACGCCTATCACTTTGATTGCGTATATTAAGCCTAGATCACACAAAAATTCGTGATTTACTTTGCAACTTATCTTAATTAATGCGACACATTTTTGTGCAACTGTATTTAAGTATACAAAATGTAGATCGAGTGCGTTTATATGTTAATAAAAATTGATTAATAAAACGCCAATCAAACTCCGAAAACCAATTTTGTTTCTTAAATTTCAATTTAACTTTATCTATAATTTATCAATATGTATCTACTTGTCAAAATGCCCATCCACAATTGCAAACCTGTTCGTGTTTCCAAAAAATCAGTTTTTAAATTCACATTTTTGTGCTTTTCAAGCGATAAAAAAATCTATAACAATCGACACAATGAATTGTAAAATATTATGTCGTTTGATTCGGGCTTTACGCTTTAGGATAGACACGCGATGTGACGGTGGGTGGTAACGGCACGACACTGGCGTGGCGGGAGAAACGGTCACTTGGCAGGGGAATAATAACGAGAGTCGGACTGACACACACGCGGCGTGCAAAGAGCCGCCGGAGACGAGAGACGCGAGGCTTTATAAATCGCGAAGATGCACGTCGAAGCAGTGACACCTCGACCGACGACGGTGAAAAACGCGCGATCACGACCGACCGTGAATGACGAACGCATTTTTCACACTTAACGCTTGAGCATCAAACTCCGCGGATCGCTATTAAAAAACGCGACGCGGATGTTTCCAACGAGCGACAACGAAAAGTTTCCTGCCGATGATCGACAACCGTTCGCGTCGTACTTTTCTCGCGAGAAGCTGTGAAAGACTTTTTTTTCTTCCTCTCGGCAGAGAAGTTGAGAGTTCGACCCGAGGAATAATTCGATCGCGATTAATTTACTTCTCAAGTTTCCTCTCCGCTTTACGAATCTCGATCTGGTGTTTCGACGAACCGCAGTAACCGGGATTCCGAAACGAAAGCTCTCGGGAGAGCCGTATTTCAACTTCGTGAAAGTCAAGAATCGACACTTCAGCGAACCAACATATCGCCTATCATATTGCCGCGCCGTAACCGTATAACGCCCGACCGTCCACGTCGAGCCCATTCAGTCGATTAGCTCCCCTAGAAACAGATCGACCGGAACTCGCCACCCCGAAGAAGATTGCGAGATTCTTCGACGCGGCTGGCCGACGCGCTCCCGACTGCAGTCGCATCGATCGCTGCAAATTGGATTGCCGTTAAAACCGGGCGGCGGGGACTACCTTTAGAGCCGAACGGACTCGCGTTCAGTGCCGGAGGCGTCGACGCGGAGTTTCCGCAACGAGAGAGTAAATTTCAGCGTCTTAGCTTGAGTAGTGCATCGCGGGTTAATACGCCGCGGGGAAAGCGTCGTTCTGTACTTGAAATGCGCCATAAACAAGCGTGACTGGAGAAACGTGATCTACAGAGAAGTGCACGCGTGCGGCAAGTTGCGCTTGTACGGATGAGATTTGTTACCGGGGAGTCAGTAAGAAGAATCACTCAGAGCCCATTTTGACAAACCAGTAAGTACGAATTTTATGATATAACGTTAACTTTTCAAATTGTACTAAAATATATTCAAATTTATAAAGTAAGCCATTCAACAAAACAACAATAGAAAGCATATCTTTGTTATTTAAATAAATAGAAGAGTTTATGAAAAAATTCGTAAAATTCTATTGTTAGATTTGAAAAGAAGTTTCAGTAAAATCTAGAATTTAGATAGATTGAAGAAAGTCACATCTGTGATCGAAACGTTTGCTGTCAATGTATAAATAACAGATAGATAGATTTGTATAAATATTTAGTTGAGCCTAACAGCTCACTCTTTTTTATATTAATTCGATTTTCGTAATTTTTTAGGTCTGATTTACATTATATTGTTCAAATTTTCTTTCCACTAACTAAACAACAAATAATTTTCATATATTTTACATGTTAAGAGCTTGATGTATAACATGATTATGTGTTCAATCATTAAGATTGACTTTATTGGAAAAATTTAATGACTTCAATGATCCGCATGATTGCATAAGCTTAAATGCGGCCGCATCGATACTCGCACAGAAATTTACAGAGGGCACTTTAATTACGTTATCGTAAATGGAGATCAATCGAAAATCCTATTAAGGCATTATGCAAATTTAATAACTGTTGATTAACAGGAACTATGAAATTTTGGCATGCAGTCGCGTAACATAGCACCTGACGATGTAATTATCGATATTCAATCGATTTGGAATAACTAACTCCTATCAAAAGATTTTGATTCAAACAGATAGCAACATGTTTTTCATTGCACAATATGTGAGACCTCGACATAAATTAAGAATGAAATGATACCCGGTTTCTTCAGGGTTATCCCGCCATACACGATAAAACATGATAAAAAGTGCATCGAGAAAGGAAACTTGAAATCGACTGCTCGTTTTATGAATTATTTAAATAATTGAGTAATTCAATATATTATAAAGTTTGAAGACATAAAAATTAGTTTTAGATACAAAATCTGACTAAATAGAGTTAAACTTTTATCAGAGCTTCAATTTCTGTTATTGTATCGTGCTTCATGGAACAATTTCATTGTAAATTTGTTACAAATTATAACGTAAGCTTTCATAATGGATTTTTGTATAAAAGTTTCTTTTATTTTGTTATTCCATGCTTTTTTCAATTCATGAATTTTTCCAATAAACTCTGTATGAAAAACGGCAGGGTTAACACATTGCGGTTTTACTGCGGTCCATGTCCCCGATGAGTCATGAATAGTTTAATGGTTTAAGAAGAACCATTAGAAACCGCAGAATCTACTAAAATTTCAAATCGGAAGTTAAGCCGCGGTGTATCAAAATTAATTATACATAATGAAAAAAAAATTGCAGCTTTTTTTTGCTTAATCTTACATAATAAATCTGAGAAAAGTCTATATTGAAGAAGATAATATATATTCCTAGAAAAAAATGCCTCGTGCGCGCGCCAGGTGTATTATCATCTAATTTAATAGCCGGCAATTATTCGCTATCTTGACTCTTGATATAAGCAAACTTCCGGCTTGATTGATTTTGCCGACATTATTTTATCGCGCGGAATTATCGTGAATTATCGCTAATCGACGCCAACGAGATAAAAAAGGATGCCCACGCGAGATGCCTACTGTTGCTCTTTATCATTACTTCGATCCTCGAAGAAAGAGCCTGTTTATTGAAACATTATCAACCTGCCATTATCACGCGCGCATTCCGGACTGTTGTCTCCCCCCCGTTCATGCATGAGTGAGATCTATAATTACGGACATATAATTACGACAGAGTGGCGCTTTGCCTAAGGCGACAAATACCGTCACGTTGTGTGATTGGAAATTGCCGCAACTTCACCAAGAAACGTCGCAATTTCGCTTTTCTCAAGCTCATTCCACCCTCGATTCCTCTGGAATATGTTATTTGATAAATTCTAATTGAATGTATAAAATGTATCCTTCGTTCGAAACGTTAAATTAATATAACTGAAGAAAGAAATCGTGCAATATACAAAGTATTTACAATTTTATTCTCAATTGTGCGAAAATATCTCAAATTTGAAGCCCGCAATCTCAAATTCTATCGTAATTTTATTCAAGTAAAATCCTATAAACAATGAATCATGCTCCATTCAATGTCTGCTTAATTTTAACATCACGTTGCTAAAAATATACACCGCAAAATTGTGTTATTTTTGTACGTTGAG